CCCCCCCCCCCAGGTCTCTTTTCTTCCTGTCTCCTTTGGATCCTTTATCAGCTGGGCTGCAGACAGCAAGCCTTTACTAGACACATGCAGCAACCTTGATAAGAAGGCTATTTTAAACCAGAGTGTGGTTCTTCCATATAAAGCCCTTATTCTTTCTCACAGAGATGCAGGTTAAAGACACTCATGCTAGTCAGCCGCAATTGGTCCCACGCCTCCAAGGTCACTCTCTGTGGCCAACAGAAGGGTCTCAGCTTTTAGCAGCTCTGATCTGGCCACATTTCTAGGAGTGGCCACTGTCTAGGATTCCTGTTTTAAGAGTCAGTCTTAGGGAGGCTGTGGCTGCCCAGGGCTTGGTTTAAAGGCCAGGACAAAACAGTGGATTGTATGAGGGAGCTAGAGCCATAGGGCTGGATCCTTACGCGACTGTCTCTAAGTACGCATGAGGAATTGGTATCAGGACCCCTGCAGATGTGGAAACCCACAGATGCTCAAGTCCTTTGTATAAAATGGTGTAATATTTGCATAGAACCTAACCTTGCCCTCCTGAATACACTGAGTACACTAAGTCATCTCCAGGTGACTTATAATACCGGGGACAGTATAAGTGCTATGGAAATAGTTCTTATGTTGTGTTATTACAGTCTCCATGCGTTTCACACAGATGTAATTTTTTCTTAACTATTTTTCCCTGTGGGTGGTTGAAGCCATAGATGTGGAAGTCACAGACGCAGAGAGCTGACGGCATTAACTCCGTCCCCTGCCATGTCCAGGCAGTCAGGAAACGAAGCACTCAGTGATGGATCTATTATATCAGCTCCAAGTAGAGGCAAGGCAGGAGAATGTGGAAGGTTGCCGGTGATCCACTCCCTCGTGAAAACCAGAGAAGCTCTTTCCAGAGCAGGTCCCCCCAGAGATGGGTCTGTCTCAAGCCACGGCAGGGAACTTACGGCTCGGATGGTCCAAGTTCACATCACGAGGACTTGCTCTGGGCAGAAATCGCACAGGCTAGGTAGCCTCTGCTGCTTTGATACGGCCTCTCGTCCACGGGCTCGGCCACGTGTGTCCTCTGTGGTCCGCACGGCTCCACGGCACCCTCTCTGGGGGCAGCCTGCGCTGCTGGCTCACTCAGATCTCTCCTTGCTTGCTTCTGCAAACAGATCCGGGAGGAGGACAAGAGCCCGCCGCCGTCCTCGCCCCCTCCCCTGTTCTCTGTCATCCCAGGGGGCTTCATTCGGCAGCTGGTCCGGGAGACTGAGAAAGAATCCAAGCAAGCGAGACAGAGGAAAGAGGCAGCTCTTGCCTCCCCAGAACAAGAGGTGAGTGGCCCTGAGGAAAGAGACCAGGTACCTTTCCAAACGCACCCGCTTCCTGTTTTCTAAGATTCCTGAGTCACTCCACTGTGCCTTGGCTCGACTGACCCTGCTTGGAAGAATGTCTTTTCTTCAACTCTGTCTGTTGAACTCCTATGCAAGCTTCAAAACATATTCCAGTTGTACCTCTCTAGATGTTCTCCCGTTTCTCTCCTTTCTCTGATTCCCACTGTGCTTCCCTGTGCCCATCTTTACCGTGGAAAGTATAATATTTGATCATAGAACTGATTTGACTAGGAATTCTTAAGAGCAATGACTACCTTTTTCATTCATTTTGCATCTTGGGCACCTCTCATAGCATGTAGCCAATAGTAGGTGTTCAAGAAATGCTTGTTGAATGAATGAATTAATGATGGATAGCAGTTAATATTGATGGGTGGGGATGATTTTTCCCCTACTTTTACAGAAAGGAAAAGTTGGAAACTGGCTAAGGCACAGTTAGCTCACTTTAGGAAGAAAGAGACTCAGTTGCTACTCACTGATATAGATCTATTATTAAAGTATTAAAATTGTTCTCCATCAGATGGGAAATGCTCCTGGCCCAAACCCTGCAAGAGCTCCCAGCTACCTCCTTCTCCCTTCTCGCTCCCCTGAGTCTCTCGGAGTGGCCAGAGTCCAATAATTGAAGGGCTGATTTGTGGCCGAGGATCTCAGTACCCTGCCCCAGCTGGCCTGCCTTCCAGTTGATCAGTGTCCACTAAAAACCCTTCATTTTTCTGGCCAGTACTGCTGGATTGAAGCAATCATCGAGCATGACGCAGCCTAACCAAACCCTGGTGGCGGCCAGGCTACCTCCCGCTTCGGGATGGCGTGGCAGGCCCAGAGCGCAGTGCAGCTTGGGAGTATCCCTGTGTGAGGCTTTCAGAAAGGGCATCTCCCCTTCTTACTCTCCAGTGTCCCCTGGGGGCAAAGGAAATGCTGCCTAATGGGCCGAGTGATCCAGTGGCCTCATGGCCAGGTGTTGCCTGAGCCCAGTGACCACCCTATCGCCTCCTTCCTGCATTTCACTTCCATCTGCCTGACCAGGGTCACACGTGCCATCTCCTGCCCAGAGACAATGACTTTGCTGTGTCAGGAAGCCCTCCAGCAGCTGAAACAGCAGCTGTAGAAATACTCTGGCCAAGCCTTGTCGGGGCACCATGACGGGGAGGAGAGCCCGGTCCCCACGCCTGCCTGATTTCAGTTGGCCCCAGACGGCAGTTGTCAGGTCACGGGAAGATAGTACTGTGTTCTGTGCGTCACCGGACAGTGTCCAGTTTGCTGTGCACGGGCTCACCCGGGACGCTGTGTGACAGTGGGTGGATGAGCCCACGTGCATGCATCAGAGGCTGGGCCAGAGCCCGGGAGGTCAGTGACTTGCCCAAGGTTGTGAGGCCAGACAGAGGCTGAGTTGGAGTGCGAGCCTGTGTGTTTTCCTTCTTTTGTGAGCTGCCTGGGGAAGGGCCATCTGCTGAGTGAGGGGTCAACGCAGTGGCCTCGGAGGGTTGGGGAGGACGGGGACCCAAAAGGCTGTGGGTCATGCTGGTGTCACTACGAACAGGAGAAGAACTGAGGTGAGCGAGGGACAAACTGTCACTGCTGGTCCTGGGCACAGACCCAGAGCCAGGGCAGGAGATGGACAGGCCCCCGGCCATAGCAGGTGTGTGCTCCACAGGCCAGGACGTTCCAGGAGCTGGGGCAGGGTGGCCTCTGGAACACGTCCCTGTGACTGGCTCCTGGCGGTTGAACTTTCTCGTCCTGGCCAGTAAATAACGCTGCCCTCCCTCTCCTGTGCCAGCACAACAGTCCCATTTGGCCCCCGTAGAGTCCTGTTGAGGAGCCATGGGATCCGTCCCCACATGGCAGGAAGGGAAGATGAGGCTCACAGAGGTGACCTCATTTTTCTAAGGCCACATGGCCAGTGAGGGACAAGGAGAGGCTGCAGAGCACTTAAGTGGAATGTCAAGGAGACCTGGTTCTGGTCCGGGTCCCGGCGCCATCACTCGGTGCCGTCCAGGACGAATCCTTCCCCTCGGTAGGCCTCGGTTTATTCCCCCGTAAAATAGATGTGCTGTGCATTCCCTCTTGACCTCAGGGACTCCAGAGGGTTGCGTCTAGAGGGCTGTTTCCTCCATATGCAGTGAAGGCTGCGGTAGAGACCAAGGGCTTTGTGAGTGGACTGTGAGAATCCAGAGACAAGAACTCGCAGGCCCGCAGCATGGGGGAGGCAGGGCTTGGTTGGCTTGTGTGGTGCATTCCCATGTTACTGTCTCCTCCGGGGCGTTTGGTTACAAATAAGGAACTGACTCACTTTTTAGGAGGGTGTAGACAGGGTTGAAACTTGCTGGAGCAGCGAATCCTCTTCTGAGGCTTGTCACGCAGGTCCCAGAAGGTCAGTTTGAGCCACTTGGCCAGGGCTGGCAGAGCTATGGCTCAGCTCTCGCAGTGTATGGAAATCACCAGTGGTGTGGCAACCAGACTGACTGCCTCAGAGGCTCTGGGTGGGGGGCCGAGGTATCTTGGTTTTAAAAACTCCCAGGAGATTTCAAAGAGCCTTAGAAAGGCAAGAAAAGGCATGTGATGTACAGCAGTTGAGGGCCACGACATCTGGGTCCAGGAGACCCAGCTTTATGCGGCAGCTTTGCTGTGGGCCCCCTGGCAGCCCCGGGTCTGCATCCTTGTCTACAGAATGGGGTGCGATGGAGCACCTACCTCCCCACATCCTCAGGAGGCTTCAGCAAGGTGCTGCATCGTAGTGATGCAGGGCCCACTGTGAAGGGTCTTTGGTCACTACCGGTATCATCAGTACAGAGATGAAGAGAAGGCGGCATCTGCCCCTAACACAGGAGAAGGACGCAAGTAAGAGCTGGCGTGGAGCTCAGCGTGTGGTCACTGCCAGTATGGAGGCACCAGTCCTCTGGGACTCCACGGAGGCCAGAGACGGCTTCTGATGGACGTGTTCAGGCAGAGCTTTGCGGAGAGGGACAGCCACACTGAGCACAGAACGATGAGACGGTGGTGGACACGTGACAAGAGGAGGGTGCGTTGGTAGTCTCACGGTGTGAGCACGCTCGGGGAGGCAGGGCTGGGCTGGGCAGAGTACAGATGCCCGGAGCGGCGTGAGATAAGAAGGGGCCATCACACCAGAATGGGTCCAGGGACTCCTGGTTGAGGACTTGAATGTCTGACACGGTGTGGAGTGGTTTTCCTGTAAACTATGGGAAGCAACCAACATCGCTGGATCAGGTGTAAAATGACTGGCAGCCAGCAGAAGGGAGCCCAGTTCCGAGCCCGTGGCAATGGCCCCAGTGAGAAAGAGGTGGGAAAAGAGACCTGGAGGCTTAACTTGGGAGGGGGAGTCACCTTAACCTCAGGGCTGTCGTGAGTGCAAGAGAGGTGTGAACGCCGGTTCCCAGCGCAGGTGTGTGTGAGGCTGCATCAGCACGGTGCAGATGGAAGGGCCAGCCGAGGGCAGGGCTGGAGCCGGCATCACAGCAGAACGGTCCGTAGGTCTCCATGTGCACAGGTGATGACAGAGGGGGCTGTGCAGGGCTGAAGGGACAGGCAGGAGGAGTGCCCAGGAGAGGGGCAGGCCATGGAATCCCCGCCGGGGTGATGTAGTCCCAAATGTTGGGGTCGGGAACTTGGCTAGAACAGGCAGCGGATCCGGAGCCCAGGGCAACAGCAGCAGCAGGTCAGATGGCTCATGCTCTCTGGGTGCTCCAGAGCCCTTCCTGCTCTGTGTGGTCCCCCATTCAAAATCTGCGTGGCTGGGAGCAGCTGCCCGAGAAAAGATGATGCCGTCGCTGGTCACTCAGTTGGAGTGGGACCTCTAATGATAGGAAGAGGGTCCTTTCCCCATCCCCTCCTGGCCAGCAGGAAGTGTCGAGGCAATAATAATAATAGTGATGATAGCAGCAGCACATTCTGCTACTGAAGTCTTGCTCTGTGCGGGGCTCAGTTTCTGGGCAGTTCACAAACCCTCACACCCACCCTATGAGCCAGGCCTGTACAATCTTTATTTCATTCATAGGGATGTGAGTTCAAAGGGGAGAGCAATGTTATTTTCCTAAAGCCACGCGACGAGGGAGTGCAAGAGCTAGGAACTGAATTTATTCTGTGGGGCTCCCAAGTTCACTGTCCTTCCACTCTGTCCCTTGGCCTTGAGGCTCTGCACCTTGCCCAGCATGGAACCTAGGGGATCTTGGAGGTGCTGGAGGCCATGTGGAGGGATGGATGTGCAGATAAGCATGAACACGTGGCAAAGCTGTCGGCTCCACAGCTCAGCATGGTCATCTCTTTTCTAGACCCCAGAAGTTTCTGTCAGCCAACCCAACAGCAAGGCCAATGGTGGCGATACATCTGGAAGCCAACAGACTTCTGGGGAGAGCCAGCGTACCTCTCTGCAGGGCACAAGCATTCCGGGTAAGGAGAGCCAGCAGTCTGGTGGTGCCGACCCTGCACTGATGACCAGCGTCAACTGTGAGAGGCCCCGGGAGCCAGGCCCCAGTGGGACGCCAGCCAGAAAAGCCCTGCCCTTCAAGAGGGGAGTGAGGAGGGGTGACGTGCTGCTAATGGTGGCCAAGCTGGACCCCGAAGCTACCAAGCCGGAGCAGAGAAACCAAGCCCGTGATACCCCCACTTGCAAGACCTTGCCTGCAGCCACAGACCCCGGAGGGGCAAAGAAAGGGGAGGCCCCAGGAACTTCTTCCGGCCCTCAGGCCAGTACTGAGGATTTGGCCTCAAAGCCTGAGAAAACTCCGACCAGGGGTCATGGGGACCCAGGCCAAGGGACAAAAGGCGAGAAGGGTCAAGGCACAGTGGGGAAAGGGAGTGGGGACCCCCAGACCAAGGGGCCAAAAGGAGGTGAGCCCAAGGGCAAAGAGGAACAGAGGACCGGGCCTCAAAGCCAAGGGGCAGGTGATGGGGGGCAACTGGGGACAGTGGAAAAGGAAGGAGGGGATCCCCCAAGCAAGATGGGAAAGAGAAATGAATCCAAGGCTGTGGGAGCTGAAGGGAAGCGCGCTGGGGCCCACGTGCAAGGGAGAAAGTGGGGAGGGTCCCTGAGCAGAAGGAGCAAGTGGGACGGTCCCCAGAGCAAGACGGACAGAGAAAGTGAGCCCCTGAGTATGGCTGAGAAGACAGGTAAGCCCCAGGCCAAGATGGAGGAGAGGGGCACAGTGCAGGGGAAGGCAGGGCAGGCTGGGGAGGTTCCCCAGGTGCTGGAGGAAGCAGCTGGGCCTGGGAAGGCAAGGGAGGCTCCAAGGTCAGAAGAGGTGGGGCAGCCTCAGAGGAAGGCTGTGGGGACCGGTGGTGCTGGGAGCCAGGCCGAGAAGGGCTGCACCATACCAAAGGAAGTAGCTACAGAGAGGGTGGAACCTGTGGCCGTCGAGCCAGAGGGCCGACCAGAGAGCAGTGCACAGAGAACCGAGGAGCCCTGCATCAGAGCGGAGGATGCCGCCAGGGGCCCGGAGCCACAGCAGGAGGGGCACGCAGAGGCTTCAGTGGAGACTTGGGCGGAAAGGCCCCCGGGACAGACGCAGACCCAGGAGGGGCCTGCCCAGCAGGACCAGGGCGGAGGCGGCCACAGTGGAGACTTGGACCAGGTGATGGGCTGCAGCCCTGGAGGTGGGGAGGGTGGGCAGGAGTCCCCAGAGATGAAGGACAAGGGGTGGACAAGGCATTGGAGAAGGTTCTCATAGTGGGAGGTTCCCCACGTAGCTGATAGGGATCAGATTATTTACCATGTCACCCAACAGTTCTCAAAGGTGAGGTGGCAAAAAGAGCAGATGGGCTAAAAGCAGGTTCTCAGGCCCATCCTTAAGATCCCATTCCAAGGGCCAGGAGCAGGGCCTGGGAACCTGCACCCCCCATTTCCCAGCAGATTCAGTGGGTCCAGAACACGCTGTTACAAACTCCCCTGTGACAGGTTCCTGCACACTCGGGTGGGGCAGGTGTCACTTTGCTGGTTTAATTTGTGTTGTCTCTGTTCCCAGGCTCATGAGGACAGATGGTATGAGGCAGAGAAGGTCTGGCTGGTTCAGAAGGACGGATTTACTCTTGGTAATCAGGGTGTCAGCCTCCCTGGGGGTGAAAGTCTGATCTTCTTGTGCTCCCTCTAGTTGTCAGTCCTCTTTGCTGCATCCTGACCACACTTTGGGGTGGAAATGGGTTGGTAAGGAACAGCAGAGACTAGAATGGGGACGTGTGATCTTTAGGGGGTTGGGAATAGCTCAGTCTTGGTAGCTGGCCTACTGGATACTGTTTCAATGATATCTGAGCCTTGATAACTAATTACTTAATCAATTCTTTCCTGACATGAGGATAGTTTGGTTCCTACAGTTCTGCAGTCCAGAGCAGGTGGGCAGTGAGATCTCATCAATTAGTGGTGGCTGATAACTGCACTCTGCTAAATGATGCAGATTTCCAGCTGCAACATAGCTGGGAAGAGGGATTGATTAGTGATGTCTGGCAAGGCACTCTGGGGAAATGCAGTCTGTATGCCACTTCTAGATACGCGGTGGGCCAGTCTAGGTCTCACGTCTAGGTATGAGGTGGGCCAGTGCCCCCAACCAGCTGGGTGCCTACTCTGCCTTGCCCTGTAAATCAGGCTTAGCCTCTGTCCTTAAAGGGTTTATTTTTTTTTTTGAGGGGAGCTCAAACTTGAGAACACCCCATGTAAATTGACCTCCATGGGGGAGGATGCAGCTCCTTTCTGACCTGATCCTGTCCCTCTCCTGCTCCCTAGCCTGACTCCAAGACTTTCTTCTCTATCCTCTTTCATTCTCTCCCCTCTTCCACACTTCCCTTTTGCTCTCCAACCAGCAACGGTGCTAAAGCCAGATGAGGGAACAGCTGACCTGCCAGCAGGAAGGATGAGACTTTGCATTGATGCCGACAAAACGGTCACTGAGGTTGAGGAGGAGTATGTTCACAGGGTGAGACACCTGTCCTGTCCTTGCCTGCTCTGCACCCTCTTCTTTCATCCCTGCAAGAGATTGTACCTGACTATAGATACCGCTTTGGTTTGATGCCCTTGAGAGAGTTATAGGAACACCCCACTGAACTCCTTGCTGTGCCGGGGGGTAGCATTATGGAGACATTTACCCCATCCTATGGCACCCCCTTTATTAAAACACACTTGCCAAGAGACATGCATGTCAGGTCTTGGCAGTGGAGTTCTTTGGATTGATCCCAAAGGGACTGCCTTTCATTATATAACAATGAAAATCATTCTACAGATTTCCCTTTTCATTCTGGCTGCCAGGAAGGTCACAGATAAATCTACTTGCCATTAGCTATAGCATACATTCCAACAGCCTCTATCTCCAGGCATCAACTTTTCTCTTAGGGGTTTGAGGGTATCTCCAGGGGATCAGATCTCAGGGGGCTATCAGGCGCAAGAGATAGCTTGGATTTGACTTCCACCCCCGGGGACCAGAGAGCACCTCGCCTTTAAGACCTAGAAGGGTGGTAGCAGCAGCACGCACTCTGAAACATTACCTTTTTTTTTTGTGGCATCTGAGATAAGATCTCATTCTGAACTTTGCTGGGTCTCGGGAGCGTCCTTATCGAGCAGTCAGTGAACATAGAAGAGCAATTAAAGAGAGGGGCTCTCAGGATGCACGGGGACAAGGAGAAGGGGCTCCCCTATTTTTTGGGTCCTCCAGCGTCCTTGTTTTCTGGTGCGTGGCTCCCAAGGGGCAAGGTTACTGTGAGTAGTGTTTGCACGCATGTGCGTACTTGCGTACGTGTGCGCATGTGCGTACATCTGTATGTGTGCGCATGTGCGTACAAGTATGCGCCCGCGCGGGCGTGTGTCGTGGGGCGAAGGAGGCACATGGATTCCTGTATGTGTCTCACAGGCCAACCCCCCGGAGCTGGACCGGGCAGATGACCTGGCCTCTCTCATCAGCGTCAACGAATCCAGCGTCCTGAACACGCTCTTGCAGCGTGCTGAGGCTCAGCTGCTGCATACCTGCGCGGGTCGGGATCTCATAGTCCTTCAGCCCCAGGGACCCACGGCACCCTCTGCCGGGAAGGTGAGGTGGTACCGAGGGCGGTGCCGGCGGAGCTCAGGGCGTCGTCCTGAGTAGAGAAGGCCCTTAACCCAGGCCCTGAGAGCGGGTAGAGGGGACTGGTCAGAGGCCGGGAGTGTCACAGGTGATAACGACACGGGGGGCCTGCCGAATGTGTTCGCCCGTGTGCCGGGCACCGCCCGTGCTTGTGAGTCCCGACTCGATCCTCGTAGCTGTCCGAGACGGGGATGTTTATGAGCCTGTTTCACAGGTGAGCAGCGCTGGCTGGGCTGGGCAAGCTTAGCACTCAGTCTTAGCAGGTGGAGGGGCTGGGGGACACCCCTCGGGCTCCTCCATGCACTCAACCTGGTACCAGACCCTTGATCCTGAACACCTGAATGAATACGGAAACAAGCCTCAGTTCGGGTGTTTGTTTGTTTGTTTTTGGTACCGGGGATCAACTCAGGACCTTGCACTTGCAGAGCAGGTGCCAGAACCGCTCAGCTACATCCCAGCCCCGGGGCTTTTTTGTTGTTCGATTTTTTTTTTCCTGCGGGGCTGGGGATGCAACCCAGGGCTTCGCATATACTATTCAAGGACTCCTTCAGTGAGTTACAGCCCAGCCCTTTGGTTCTGCTTTCCTTCCTCCCTCTCGCCTTCCCTTCTTCCCACTGTGGCAATGGCGAGGAAGTCCCTCAGCCTCGTCTTGTGCTGAGACTTGGAGCCAGAGCTGCGTCTTTGCTGCTTTCCCTCTTTCACCAGGTGGACACTGAGCTTCCAAGGGAGGTCTTTTCACAAGCCAGGCGGGGAAGTGGCAGCGGGGCGGAGGACAGGCTTCTAGGGAGGGCAGCAGCCACGATAGCGGTGTGGGAGAGCTGTGTGTGGGCAGGTGGGGAGGCCTGAGGTCAGGAGGCCCCAGCGGTCACTGCACAGGTCTCCTGTGCGCTGATCACGATTCTGGCTTTTACTCTGGGGATGGTGGGGGCTGCCGCTGATTCTTAGCAGTGGGAGCAGTGGATGGGTGGGAACAGCTGAATACGTCAGGGCAGGGTCCTCTTAGCTGTTGTTAGGGACAGATAGGAAGGGGCCGAAGGGTGAGAGGATAGAGGGGAAGCAACCCACTTGCGCCTGTGCTGAGCACTTACTGGCGAGGGGGTGGGACACTGGGGCCTTGGGGAGACTGCGAAGCTTCTCTGGCCTCTCTTTTCTCCTCTGTTGGGGATAAAAGGCCACATGCTGCCTTCTGAATCCCCGCAGGGACACATTCAGCCTCGTCCCCGATAACACTGAGTTCACAGAGAGGAGCCCATGGCCCTGAACCCCTCTTTCTGAAATGTTTTTCTTTCAAGTGACCTGTCCTGCGCCTTTAGTGCCCCCCTAGGTCTCTGAGCAAGCTGCTGTTGGGCAGGTACCATGAGGACTTCGGAAGCCTGGGTGGGTGTGAGCTTGGTCCTGCCCTCTCTGTTCCCTGTCGTGAGAGCTTATGCTTCTGTGACTACAGTCCAGGGCCTCTGAGCTGTCTGCATGGCTGAGGGACTTCTCTGGCTCCTTGGAAGCCCCTGGAAGTGACATTTTTACAGGCTGGGACAGCAGGCCAGGTCCACATAGCTATCCTGGACTGGGATCCTGGGTTCTGGCAAAGGTGCTTCAAAGTGTGTGCAGTAGGGCTCACGTGCAGGGGATTCAGATCAGTGTGACCTCCCTGTCCCTTCCCTTAAGTCGCCCAACCCACAGCCACCTCTCGGCCTCTGGCTACGTCAACTTCCAATTCCTCAAATGGCCACCAGGTGGGAGCACAGACCTGTAGCAAGCCTAGGCATGGGCCACCTTGTGGATGGTCTTGGGGCACAGCTGGGGCTCTCTCACTGCGGGAGGCAGCGGGGAGCTGAGGGTATTGGAGTCTTCATGGGTGTGAACAAGTGTGTGACTGGAGGGTGCAGGTGTGCATCTCTGTGTGCAGCCACTTGCTGAGCCCACGAGCAACCTGTATATACACCTGTGCACACGTGTACCCGTGTGGAGGTGCAAAATCCCTTCGCTTCTCCACACAGCAGACCTGAGCGGTAGATGAATGGGGCAGCTTGCACTTAGAACTTGAGGTTTTTAGAGTAGAGGGGGCTCCGGGGCTCAGATCCTAAGGCCTGTTCCTACCCTGTGCCCTGAGCCTGTGCCCAGGTGGTATAGGGTTTGTTCCTCCTTTGCCCGATGCAGAATCCTGCTGAGTTGTGTGCTTTGCATCAGGATGGAGACTTGCTGCTCTTCACGGGGTCTTGAAGCATCAAAGGCCAGCAGTGGACTGAGGGCTCCAGCTGGAGGTCCCAGCTAGGGAGAGAGTCACCATCCTGGGCTCGAGGCACTAGGGAGGACAGATGGGACCTTGGCGGGCTCTTTGGTTACCTCTTGGGATCTTGCAGGCCTCTTCCAGCAAGGCCCCTCCTGCTCTCTCCCACTCACTCAGAGCCTCCACTTTGCTTCTCCCGGAAGCCCGGCTAAGCAGACACTTGTCAGGGTCACCGCTGAGCTCTCTGCTGTCAAGGCCAGCGTTCGTTCCCACTGTCCTCTTGTTTGGGCCTCGGCGTACTGAGGAGCTGGGCCCCTTCCTGTCCTGCAAGCGCTTCTTCCCTTCTCTGGCTCTGGGACTCTGTTCTCCGGGTTTCCTCTGGAACCTTCTCTCTGCCGTTCTGGGGGTCTCTCTGACTTCGCAGTCCGCAGTTTCTCTGCTGCTGTTCGAATACCCATTGCCTTGGTATCTCACCCAGGCTTGTGGTCTTCAGAGGACTAACCTTGGATAGATAACTGGATTCTTTTGTTTATCAGCTCTGTCTTCCCACCAGAAAGAAAGCTGCCCCGAGAGTCAGCTTAATTGAAGTATGACTTAAATACAGTTTCATTCATCTTTTTATTGCTCAGTTCGGAGAGTTTTTGACAAAAGTGACCAGCTGTGTCACTGCCTCCATAATCCATGACAGGACAGTTGCTACCAGCTCTGAAAGGTACCTGGCCCCTCTGGGATTGGCCCCAGCTCCAAGTCCCATACCGGGAAGCCTCTGCTTTGTTTTGTGTCCCGATAGTTTTTTCTTTTCCAAAAAGTTACATAAATGGAATTGTGCGGTATGTAACCTTTTGAATTAGCCCATCCCGTTCACTACCATACATCTTATGGCATTTATCTGTAGTTTCTTCCTTTATTTTACCGTAGGATGCACTTGTTTATTTGTTACAACTGGGTGAGACTGGTCCTCGTTTGCCCAGGTCTGAGGTGTTCTCCCAGGCTTGGTACTTGGAGTGCAGAACTCAGGATGGTGGGTTGCCTTGGCTCACCAGCTGAAGGACATTCAAGTTGTTTCCAGCTTTTGGGGGGCGGTTTGTGTATTTACTCAGTATAATCAGTGACACAGAGGTTTAGTGAGAGCACAGGTTTCCATCTCTCTTGGTTAAGTCCCTGGAATGGTGTTGGGGATTGAGTAAGAAACTGCCAGGCTGTGTGAAGAGGCAGAACCATCTTGCATCCCTGCCAGCCCAGTCTGAGAATTCCTGTTGTCTTACATCTTTTCTAGCGCCCTATAGCGACTGACAATTTTTTAAGTCGTTCTAACTGACGTACGATGGTTGGCTGAGATGTCCTAATCCATTTTGCATAGTGTGGTGCCTGCTACCTTGCAGACCCTCAGTGGAGTTCTTACTGAAGGGAGGGGAGCTGAGGAAGAGGCTGTGGTTTGGGGCTGGGTGTCACTGCCCACGCATGGGGCGCATACCGGTTCCCCCACGTGCTGTGCCCTGTTCGGCACAGACATCATTACATCAGTTACCCCCTTTATCCAGCTGCCTCACTCACTTCAGGGAGGCACCGTGCTGTGACTTCAGCAGTGAGATGAATTCCAGGGGCCAATGGGACTCTGGGTGCCCAGGGACTCGTACTGAGCCGGTGACAGGACTGGACCTGTTCGGTGAAGCTCAGACTTCTCTGGCAAGTTAGAGCAGAGTGGGGGCTGGACACAGGGACTCTGTCATGGTCTCGGGGAGCTTCCTGGCAGTGGCTAGGTGGGAAGGCTGATGCCTGCTATCTTCCTGCAGGTACCCAGCGGCCGCCGGGATGGCCTGCCTGCCCACATCAGCTCCCTTGCCCAGCGGGCCTACTGGGCAATGCTGAGCCAGCGCAGAGACCAGAGCATCATAGCACTGGGCAGGAGCGGTGCTGGGAAGACCACCTGCTGCGAGCAGGTCCTGGAGCACCTGGTGGGAATGGCAGGCAGTGTGGATGGCATGGTGTCAGGTACGGTGGTCTCCAGGTGATGTACAGGGAGAGGAGAGTTGTATTTCCTTCACTAAGCATTCGCTGAGTCTTGAGACCATGCAGACCCAGTGCCTGAGCCGTCCTCTATTCCACTGGGGACCTTTGTTGGAGTTAGATAAAAGTATTCCTTCCTCAAGATGCTGGCAGTTGTCTGCATAACAGTCATTGTACATTGGCATTTTCAGGACCAGATGCTTGACTGCCATCTGCTGGGGAACCATATTAATAAGCATGCAAATATGGTACAGTAGGATGTGACCACTCTACCTGTGGTGTCTGTATGCAATGTACAACCTGCTGAACTGTACAGAGGACCTACTGCCTAAAGATGGACAGGCAGAGCCTATGCCCAGCAGAGGGAGAGAACTGAATCTATGTACGTAGTCAAAGGTTCCCCCAAAAGTGCTGGTACAGGTAGTTAGGGAGGAGGCTGAGGAGGCACGCAGGAGTGGTGCAAGGGCTTTCACGAGGAAGTGAATTTTGAGCTGGGCATAGGAAGAGCTCCAATTAATAATGATTATAATAATTACAATATTGATAGCCATCAGAGTAAATACTTGAGGAAGACTTTGTGCCAGGCCCCGTTCTATGTGTAGGAACTTATTTATTATTTCAGACAGGCCTAGACAGTAGATATTATTACTTGAGTTTCACAGATGAGGGCCTTGAGATCACACATTCATTAGCTTGCTGAAGGCCACACAGTGAATCCACCCTAGAGCTGAGATTTCACACCGAGACATTCTGGCTCCTGAGGGTAACCACTGGGCCACTGTTCTCAGTTTTTTTAAAAATTGTTGTTCCCTAAGAGGCTTTGTAGACATTCCTCAAGCCATCTACCCCACCGTGAGATGTCAGTACCACAGGTAAACCACAGATCCACATGTGTAGTGTAGGTACTTCGATCTGTGCATTAAAACTATTTATTAACCATCTCCCAGAACTGGCATGGCCCACATGGGTGCAGCCCAAGCCCCCCAGATCCCCTGAAGGGTGAATCATGGTGAATACACTGTCGCCACCGCCACCTTCCAAGCAGTTTCTAAGTGCTTCGCAATTATTGAATCATTTCGTGCTCATGACAGCAGGCGAGGGAGGTACTTTCGTTGCCCTGTTACCACCGGGCCGCCCCAGGCACAGGAAGGGTGGAACCCACCCTAAATCTCTGCTTTATGCTGTGTATGCTGCCTCCCAGCTGGGTTCTTCCAGTGCTTTGGTGAGCCCCTACTCTGTGCCTGACCTGACTTAGGAGCTGGGATACAGCGAGAGAGGCACTGGTCTCTGCACCCCCACAGCTTGGTTCTGCTCTGCATTTGAAGGTGGGAGACAGGATGGGCTGTATCCAGACACCCAGTACCATGTGTGGTGCACAGTGGGCACTCAGTGGAACCTTGTGGAGGCACTGCGGGGCTTTTTTTGGCCTGTTGCTAGGCCTGGGGTCCTGAAGGTAGGTGTGAGATGTTAGCACTTTGCTTTCCCAGGCTCCCGGGGCAGCCCCATTTACTGGGGCTGTGACTCCCCTCCTGTCTGAGTCTTGCTACTGTGGTGCTTGCAGTGCAGGCTGACACCAGCAACTGGTGTTCAGCAAAGTGGGTGTGGTTTAGAACAGGGTCGGGAGGCATCAGGGAGCCCACGTGGAGTGTGGAGGACAGGGAGGGCTGGGCCAGAGCCAGGGCCACTAGGGAAGATCGTTCTGTGGGATCCATGAGTGACACCTGCTCCGCCCCACTCAGTGGAGAAGATCTGGGCCACCTTCACCATCCTCCGGGCCTTTGGCTCCGTGTGCATGGGCCACAGCTGCAGGGCCACCCGTCTGACCATGGTGATGTCGCTGGACTTCAACGCCACTGGCCGAGTGACGGCTGCACAGCTCCAGGTGAGAGTTCTGGAAATTCATACGGGGCCCTTGGGGCCACTTGGCCCCACACTTCCAGCTGCAGCCTGGGGTGTGTCCTGGACAGCCATTGCTCCCTAGTTGTGACCACCTGCTCTGCACCCACTCACCTGCTTCCTGCTGTCTTCTGTCCCCAAACCACTTGTCTGTAGTGTGGGCTGCTGTGGAGATGAAATACCTGTGAATAAATATATAATTCAGCCTTTCCTTAACTAGGCCCTAAAAGTGAGCACTAAACTAAAACAGGCACTGGCCAGGCGACGGATACATGGCCTGTTTGTCTCCATCTCCAAACCAACCGCAGCCTTCCCCTACTTGCACACATTCTGTTAGAACAGAAAGTTGGCTTAGGTTATGAGACAGATGTTTGTGCGTGGAGCTAGGGCGGCAGCCTGGCTCTTGGAAAGCTTGTGGAGGGCTGCCCATCCCTCTGCTTTCCTGGCCCCACGTCCTGCAGGGAAGCACCACTGCTTGGGCGGAGGCTCTAGGGGCTCCTGTTGTGGGACGTGTGGGAGGGCAGTCCCGTCTGATCGCTGTGGTCCTCTGGAGTGAGGATGGGTCTGTGGCATTAGCTGATGTCCCAAGAAGCCTCCGAATTAGTGACGCTCAGGGCAGGTGGGTTGGGATGCAGAGGCTGCTGCTGAAGCCAGGCCTGGTGTGAGTGCTCGGCATGTGGGCCAGGCAGGCCCAGCAGTCGACAGTATCATCCCCTCTGCAGACTATGCTCCTGGAGAAGAGCAGAGTGGTGCGGCCGCTCAAAGGGGAAGGCACCTTTCCCATCTTCTCCCAGATGCTGGCTGGTTTAGACCTGGATCTCAGGTGAGTCTCAGGTTGGGTGGGGACAGCAGAAGATGGGGCTGGTGGCACCCGCTTGTTTCCACCTGGAATCGAGCAGCTGGGACCCAGAGGGAGGAAGGCGGCCTTGTGCCGCCCTGGCTGGGGTACACCTGCTCCCAGATGGTGACCTTGCTCACACACCAGCCATTCCGAGTCTCAGTGTCTTCCTCAGTACAGGGGAGACGACACCTTGGACAGACCTTACAGGAATGAGTGGTATAGTTCGCATCCGACACCATAGAAGCTGGAGCATGGACATGCTGGTGCAGAGCTTGACTTGGGAGGAGAGTCATGTCTTCTGGAACTTTCTAAACTTTGTGGGAACCTGGGGTACATGTGAGGGAACCTCAGGGCTAAGGGGAGTTGGAGGAGCAGTGAGTAGGGTGATCAGGCAGCCAGTCTTGGAGGACTTCCTGGGAGAAGTGGCCTGGAAAGTTGTCTCTGCCCCGCTGGCCTCTGCAGGGAGCCTTGGATATGTGGCTTTCTCTGGCTGAGCTTTGGCTTTGTCCCATCGTCCACATCGGCCAGGATCTAGTAAAGGCCCAGAGGAGAGCAAGCTGCCCTTTCCCACCCGCAAGATGATTTGCAGTGTGCTCTTTAAGCCCCTTGATGCTCCCCACCTTCCGCCGCATTTGGAGGATGGGCTCAACATGTCCCGAGTCCAGGCTTAGACTGGAGGGATCAGTGTGCCCTGCAGAGAGAGGGCAGGTCAGAGAGGCAGCTCCCAGTTTCCAGAACAGAGTGACTAGGCACTGAGCTTCTCGCTTCTCCAAGACCTGTGGAGCCCACAGAAGGAAGCACTTGGCTTGGGCGGTAGAGCACAGTGATAAGACCACAGACTGGGCCTGGGCTTTGTGGATTTGTATCCTGGCTCCTCCGCTTGCTGGCTGTGTGACCATGGACTAGTGACCTCACCTCTCTGGGCCTCCCTCTGCTCATCTGTAAACCCAGGGTGATTCTGTCTACCTCAGAGTGCTGGTGGGGTCCAAGTGTGAATAGGCAGCAAAACCTAGCCAGTGCCTCAGTGCTGCATGCTTTGTGTGGGGTTATGGTGATTTGGGCAGGATTTTTAGCCCATGTGTCCTCTGCCGCTGGCTTCCTTGGGAAGGAAGGACTGGCTTCAGAGTCAGAAGGATGTGTGCTTGACCCCGGCTTTGCCACAGGTGGGCTTCTCTGAGCCCCGGTTTCTTCCTCTATAGTATGGGTTCCTCGCTTTGAGCACCAAAATGCTCTCCCAGTCAGGGCAGTGGGCACCGTGTGGGGTGCACATTGGGGATGTGACACAGGAAGGCACATTGTGTGACCCTGAACAGGAGGGTTTGGAACCCACTTTCCAGCCCTGTGACCCAGGGGAGAGGCTGCCCCTCCTGGGTACCCCATTTCCTCCACTGTCACAGCGCTGAGGGGCACATTCAGCTCCCCTGCTGCAGCCCAGGCTCCAGGAGAGTGGAGCAATCTTTGTGAAGCTCCTCAGACCCCTCAGGGGTCACAGGCATTCTGCCCCGGCAGCAGCCCCATGCTGTTTCTCAGTGTCCAACTCCGCTGCTGCCAGGGTGGGCCCACCACCATTGGAAAGCTCCCGAAGGACAAAGAGTACTTTCTACTCCACCTCATGCCTTTGTTTTCTCCCAGACACTCGTGGTAAATGCCTAAAAACCCTAGTTCAAATTGTTTTGTTTGTTTTTAAAGGAGCATTGCTTGATTTTTTTTTTCTCTTTTTTTGGGTACCGGAGATCGAACTCGGGACCTTGTGGAGCATGGCTTGATTTTTGCTCCTTGGTTTCTCCTTTATTCCGTGTTGATGCCTGGAGTGTACTTCTGTTCCGGCATCTGCCATGCTGGGGTGGACAGGCCCGTCTTCTTCACTGCACTGACTGTGAGATCCCCAGATCAGGGATCCCCGCACTCCTTTCTGCCTCCCAGTCACTGCCCCGCGTGGGGGTTGGCACGCAGTCGATGCTTGTCCCTTGTTCCTCAGACTGACTTTCCAGCAAGCGGGGGCGTGTGAGGAATACAGAGCACAGGCTGCAGATGGCTCATTTAGAGCGATGAGGCAGGCGGGAGATGCCCGTTTCACAGAGGAACCACGCGATGCTCAGAGGAGAGAACCGCACCGGGGGTGCTCTGTATGCTTCTGGGTCGTGTATGGGGGAGAGCATTGCCCTGTTCCAGCTCGGCTTCACGTCCTTCAGGCCCGGGGAGGGACCAGGCTGCAGGTTCTCGAGGATCCTGAAGAGGCCCGAGCCTCATGACACTTTGCCCATGCGGCCTGAGGCCCAGAGTGGGTGTGTGGCAGGACCACAAGGGGCCAGGCTCTCGGCGCTGAATTCCTGGCTAAGAGTTGCCGTCTGTGAAGCTGTGGATGAGGAGCTAAGACCTAGGGCCTGCATCTTGTTATCTGTAAAATGGGGGTATGATTGGTACATCGAGCCAGGCAGAGTGGTACAGGCGTGTAATCCTAGCACTCTGGGAAGCTGAGGTAGGAATGTCACAGATTCAAGCCCAGGTCAGACCAGTTTAGTGGCTTAGGAGACCCTATCTCAAAATTACAAAAAGAAAAGAACTTTTTAGAAAGGCTAGAATGTAACTCAGAGCACCCTGAGTTCACCCCCAGTTTGTTGGGTGCAGGTCAAAGCAGTGGTACAGTGTGGCACCCAGCAAGGCCTTGTTCATGATAGTGAGGGTTCTGTGTGATCTGTGTATGGTCACCCAGCTGACGACCTGGAGTTGGGCCTACTGCCCTGATCTGACTCTACACTGTCTCTTCTGGGGTGTCCTGGGTTGGACTTAATGGGCTGTGGCCCAAGGGAGCCATTGGGGTTGCTTGACCTTCTGGGTGGAGTCCTGTACTGTGGGAAGCCCTGCCCTGCAGGCCACTCTATGGGCAGCCCCTTCTGACCCCTGGGCCCTTCTCTGCCTGCAGGACAGAGCTGTACCTGTACCAGATGGCGGACAGCAGCTCCTTCGGCATGGGTGTGTGGTCCAAGGTAAGAGGGTGCCCTGCAGGGTGGGGTGTGCATCTGCACCCCGGGCCAGGTACAGGGGGCTGGAGGGTCCCCTGTGCCATTCAACTTTGTCACTGCTGGTGGCAAGGGCTGGTCACAGGGTTGAGGCTGCGGCTGTCTTTGCAGGGCCTGGCCTGGTGAGGGGGAGAAACAGGGAACTGAGAGGTGGTGTGCACGGAGGTAAGAGATTGTCTGGCATCAGATCATCTCTGCTTAATCCCTGGCTCCGATTCTTACTGGATTCGGGACCTGAGGCAAGGAGTTTAACCTCTTCGGACTGCTGAATCTTTTCGGTTAAGTGATGCCTCGTGAGTTGATGCGAGGATGAAGTTTGAAGATGCTGTGAGAGCGCGGAGTGCAGGGGACTCTTGGTAAATCCCAGTGGTCCTGAGAGAAGGGAGGTGGCCAGAGCTTTCCCAATGTACTTGGTCTGAGTGGGACCTTGAGAGATGGGTACTCAGTTGTTTAAAAAAGCTAATTGATTCCTTTCTTGACATTTGATTGGTTTATATTTTAACATTTGTTTTCTGAGCCCTCTCCTCTCTTTGGGTTAGCTATGAATTTTCACCACAGCAAGAAAGGCAGACACAGAAGTAAATGCAGTCATGTGCAATAAGAAGGCACTAGGGGTTGCATGAGATGCCGAGGACCCCAGAAGGTAGATGAAAGAGCTAATAGGTCAGGGAAGGCTTCTTACTCAAGAGGACATTTGCCTGGGCTTTGAAGAATGAGTATGAGTTTTCCAGGTGGAAGGGAGCAAATAATTTCTTCTTCAGATCCTCTTTCCAAACATAACATGTTTAGGATGTAAATGGTGCTGCAGTGATTATGTAATCCCATGCCCCCCCCAAATCCATTTCAAACTGTACCTCACTCTATAATATATGAAAATTGACCAAAAATGGCAGAGAGAGGACCTAAATATAAAACTAAAAACTAAAAGTTCTAGGAGAAACATCTCCACAGCCTTGGGTGTGACAAAGATTTCCTAGATGGAACACCAAAATTACAACCCATAAGAGAGCAAAGTAACATCATGAAAATTAAGAACCTCTGCTCTGTAAAAGACACTATTAGATGAGTAGACAGGCCTCTCAGAGAAAATACTTGTAAGTCGCATGTCTGATGAGGGACTTGTGTCTAGAGTATAAAGTTAACTCTCAAAACTAATAAATAAGATTACTTGACACAAAAGATGGGCAAAAGATTGGCCATATACTCTATCAGAGATAAGTGGATAGCAAGTAACTGCGGGAGAGTATCCTGAAATCATTAGTCATTAATTAAAGAAGTTCAAGCTGAAGCCACAGTGAGCTGCTGCTACCTAATTATTAAAATGGCTAAATTTAAAAAGATGGATTATACCTAGTGCTGATGGAAATTCATGGGTAACTAGGGTATTCTTACATTGCTGTGTGAATGTACAGTACTACAACCATTTTGGAAAATAGTTTGGTAGGTATCTAAAAAAGCTAAACACACACCTCTTACATAACATTCCATTCTATTCTAGGTATTTATGTATGGAAATGAAAGTGTATGTCCTCATAAATCTTTGTATCAGTTTCATTTGTAATAGCTCCAACCTGGAAACTGTCTAAATTTTTATCAGCAGGTAAGTCAGCAAGGATTTTGGGTGTGGCCATACAATGGGCTACTACTCAGCAGTAAAAATGCATGAACTGGGCTGAGGATTTAGCTTGGTGGTACCACCACCTGCCTTGCAAGCTCAAGGTCCTGAGTTCAATCTCCAGTACCAAAAAAAAAAAAAAAAAA